CCCAGAACAAAAAAAAAAAAAAAAGTCTGAGGTTGTAGCTCAATGCAAAGGCCCCAGGTTCAGTAACAAACAGACATACACAGACACAGACACACACACAGACACACACACACACACACACACAGTAATAGAACTAAATAAAAACTAAAAAGTTTAAATTCTAGCCACAAATTTTATGACCCCAATTACTGAAATCTAAGAAAACATGCCTAACACATACTGCAAGGTACTCTATCTCTGGTTATATCAAGAACTGTGAGCTAATTCTAGACCATGAAGTTCATTAGGGCTTTCTGATTTTACCAGTTAATTTTTGTGTTATTTTCACCTGGAGCTTTTAATTTTATTCTAAATATGTTAGATAACTAAATTAATCATTTCTACCATACTAGTTTTCAAAATATTTGACTGCTTTTATTTTTCTAAGGACAGGGCCATAATTTCTCATACTTGCCCATTTCCTGATAAGTTTACAATGAGGAAATCGTTGCCTTAAAAATGTCTATGTTTGGTATACAACACATTCTCATTTCAGATTACCTGAATGTGGGCATAAGTCATATTTATCTACTTAATAACACTTTTAGACTGAGTTCACAATGAATTATGCCAAGATTGCTTCATTACTTGAATTAGCAAAATATATAAACTTCCTCATATGTGACTTTCTCATGGCCTAAATACATTCATTGACTGTTTAACATTGTTTTTATAGAATTATTTGCTTTCAAATAGAATATGGAAAATATGGGTGCACTTACAATATATTTGCAAAAGTGAAATTTTTCTATACTTAATGAGACATTTTATCTGCATAGAAATAACTTTAAAGCCTAGTGACTTTTTATAGTCATCGAGTGATTTCTTATTCATGTTCATTCCTTTTTTTTTGGTACCAGGGATCGAATTTGGGTCCTTGCACTTGTGAGGCAGGTGGCAGAGCCACTGAGCTAAATTCCCAGCCCTAGTGATTTCTTATTCAGAATCACAGAAGATTAATACTCAGAAACCCAGATTATAATGTAATACACATTAGAGTACTTACCATTTAAATTTTGTTTCAGTTTCAGTTGTTGTAACTTGAGCAGGACTTTTAGGGTTTCAGATATTGCTTTACATGATTTCTAGCAAATAATATTTAGATGAGCAAAATGCTGTTTTGTAAGTTCTAGTCCCTGGAGGGCCATGAATAACCACTTGTATTCAGAAGAGATGATCCATGAAGACAGTCTTGCCTGCAAGAATGCAATGCGTTACTTTTCCAGCAATTCATTTTTCAGGTGTCCAGTCAAACCAGCAATTAAGCTATCTAAGCACTGCAGAGATAAAATCTGATTAAAGTCAAAACATGGCACCAAGTCAAATGCTTCCCAAATAAAAAACAAAGGAGGCTCAGTAATCCCTTTAAAAAGATACCAAATGCTTCAACTATTGAGACAGATGGCATTTAGCCAGCCCCAGCTCACAGAGGTAGTGTCCAGTCCACCGTGTGCTCCAGCCCTGACAGTAGCCTTCCTGTATCCTGTGCATTCTCACCTTCCTCCTCCAAGTGCACACGTGTGTATGGACACATGCACGTAGCAGGTCTACTTTTAGGTTTATCCCTGTGTGAAATCATAGCCCACTGCTATCCATTAGCACCACAGGATCAATGTATTTCTTGTTCATATCTAATCTCTAGTGCTTGGTGCAAAACATATGCTCAGCTCAGTAAATATATTTTAATGTTTAAGAGATGAACAAACTAGTCCAAGGTTTGCACTCATACATGACTTTTGTTAAGACCATCACAACCTCCGTTGCTAAATCCAGCTGTCAGTTTTCCGTCTTCCTCTTACTTGACTAACCTACCAGCTTGACAAAGTTAGCCTTGGACCTTATTTTACCATCTTCCTGCAACCCTACTGGTCACTATTTGGGAAAGTGTTTTTGCTGGTTTATCTTCTGCCTGAGCTTTGATGTAAGGCGTCCTGAGGGTTCAAACAGCATTCTGTTTTCTACTGGCCCCTCAATCTCACACCTCGAAATGATGTCCCACATTTTCATATCTATATCTGCATCCTAACCTCGTTCCTAAATTTCAGATGATGAAGTAGTGTTGCCCCACTTAGATATCTGATAGTATCTCAGACTTACTGTGTCCAAATTGATTTCCTGCTCCCACTCGTCCCCTCTGGCCCAGTGGTATTGTCTTTGCCTTTGTGCCCATGTTAGTAACGGTACTGGGTTACCCACTGCAGGAGTCAGCTTCTTATCACGTATAAAATATCTGACAGTACCAATTTAAGGAAAGAAAGCTTTATTTTGATTCATGGTTTTTGGACTTTTGGTCATCTCTGTTATGTTTAGGCCCATAGAAGGCAGAAACATAACGAGTGAAGAGCATGGCAAAGAAAAGCTGCTCATCCCATGGCGGTCAGAAGCAGAGAGAACAAGACAGCACAGACGGGAGGGGCCGGGGCCAGACACAGGTCCCACTGTGTCCCACTGCAATCAGCAAGCCCCAAAGTTGTAATAGCCACTGCCTCTTGACCCCATCTCTTCCAAAAGGCTCACCTCTGGACACATGAGCCTTTGGGCACACATGTTCTCTCCAAACCACAACACCCTCTATTCCTACTGCTATCACAGCTATAGATTCCACTAAAGGCAGAAAAATGGCCTCATTTCCTCTTTCAATTTCCACTATGCTTTCCTTCGGTAGACCCTAAATGGTAAGGGTTTTTATGATGTATTATTGGTGGTCTAGAGGCACGTAGAGTAGAGAGAAGGGTGGGTATAGGGTCCATGCAAATGCAAGGCCACTGTGTAGGAAAGACCTGAGTATCTGCAGGTCCAGGAGAAGGAGTGTGGTGCGCAGGCACCCATTCCCAGTGGAAAGGCAACAACCATCATGTCTCTACAGCTTCGCTTCCTGTTCGATGCATTATTGGCTATGATTATATTCATCAAATGGTATAATAGAATTTCAAAATACATTTATTCTGTGTAACTGAAATCTCAGGCCCTTTAACAGCATTTCCTCACAGGCAGAACACTCTAAGCCCCTCAGCATGCAGTGTCAAGTTCTGTGAATTTAGTGATTTCAGACAACATGCCATGTGGTCTCTCTGTATGACTTATTTCTCTTAATATAAAGTCTTCCATGTAGTCACAAAAGGAAGGATTTCCTTCTTTTTTAAGGCAGAATAGCATGCCTTTCTTTGTGTGTGTGTGTGTGTGTGTGTGTGTGTGTGTGTGTGTAAAACTTTTTGGATTCACTCATCCTTTGCTAGACACTTCACTAGACACACCCCTACCTTGACTGTTGTGAATATTGCCACAGTGAACATTAAGGTGTCTGTGCCTCCTTTATTACCTTTCCAATTAATTCAGATTCTTTTTTCATAACTGCTTTTCCTTGGACTTCCAGTGCTGCATTAAACAGAAATGATAGGAGTGGGCATTCTTGTCTTATTCCTGATGTTAAAGGAAAAGCTCTCAGCTTTCATTGTTGAGTAAATATGATTTTAGGTGCGGGCTTGTCAATTTTATGTTTTAAAATACTGAACCCAGTTAGGCTCTATTTTATTAATTTCTGCAATTGCATATATTATTTCCTTCCTTCTACTAAATCACCTTGGTTTGTTCTTCTTTTTCTAGTTTTGTAAGTTTAATATTAAGTTATTTACTTATGAATTATCTTCCTCCTTATTGTAGGTGTCTTGATTACTTTCCTGTTGCTGAGGCACAAACTTATTCCTGACCACTTAAAGGAGGAAAGGTCTATTTTAGCTCCCAGTTTGTAGAGGTTTCAATCCATGGTCAACTGGAAGAGTGGTATTGCAGGACAGCATGGCAGAGAAGAATTGCTCATGGCGGCTGGTATAGTTTAGCTCCCAGTTTGTAGAGGTTTCAATCCATGGTCAACTGGAAGAGTGGTATTGCAGGACAGCATGGCAGAGAAGAATTGCTCATGGCGTAGCTGGTAGGAAGCAGAGAGAGAGAGAGAGAGAGAGAGAGAGAGAGATACAGAGGGAGGAGGAGGAAGGGCAACACACCCTTCAAGACCGTATCCCTAGTGACTCCCCTCCTCTGACCAGGCTCTACCTTCCAACATCACAATTAGCTGTAAACCCATCATGGACTGCTCTCCTGATCAGTATCATGACCCCATGATCCAACTACCTCCCCAAAGCCCTTCTTATAATAGCATGAGTCTTTGGGGGGATGTCTAGATATAAATTATAATATTCTGTCCTTGGGTTCCAAGAGACTCATGACTATCCCTTCATGCAAAATGCATTTAGTCCCTCTCTAATAGCTGGCAAAGACCTAACAATTGCAGCACTGCTAAAAAGTCCAAATCCAGGTCTCTTCTGCAAATTAAGGCAAACGCTTTTCTGTGAGCTCATGTAAAAAATCAAAAAAGAAACTTAAACCTAACATACAAAGGCAAGGAGTAAATATTCTCATTCAAAGAGGGCTAAAGAGGGATACAGAAAAGAATGGGACCAATGTAATACTGAAATCCTGCAGGGCAAATATTAAATCCTATAGTTCTATATCCAGGAACATGGAAAAATTGTGGTGAGATGTAAATTTCAACACCTTGGGTAGCCCTGCCCCTGTGGTACTTCCTGTGGGTGGCTGTAGCCCTCATGACTTCTCCCTAGGCTGGCTTTGCAGACTCCTTGCAGCTTTTCTATCATTGTACATTCTTAGCTTTTCCATCTTCCTTGGGTCTCCACTGCACTTTTGGCTTCACTCTTAGCAGCTTCACACACTGTCCTCTCAGGGGCAAACTGCTTGGCTTCACAAGCCTTCTGAAATATGAATGGAAGTCTGCCTGAGCCCACAGCTCTTGCATTCTGTCTGCATGAAGCCAGCCCCTCATGGATGATGTCAAGGTCTATCTCCAGCTCTAGCACTAGCCTGGGCCTTCTGCATTTTGCCAGTGATGTAGAGACTTCTGAGAACCTGGACACTGAACATGGTGAACTGAATCTGTGGGAATATATTCTCTAGGCAGTCCTTGTCCAACAGCCCACCCAGGGGTTTTCTTCTCCAAGCAAAATACTTCCCCTTTGCAATTTTAAGCCTAAAAAGGGTGGGGCCTTGCTAGTAGAGCTTTGTTGGAGGATGTGTATCAAGGGGGACATGGCCTAGCAGGATCGAATCCCCTCCTCCTCTACTTGATTTGTAAGTGGGGTATTGACATCCCCTAATATCATAATGCTGTCTATTTCTTCCTTCTGTTTCATTACTATTTGCTTCGTACTCTTATAAAGTGTTAGATATAACTATTCACAAATTCTATATCTTGATGAATTTACCACTGTATCATTATGGAATAACCTTTGTCTGTTTTTACAGTTATTAACTTAAAGGCTATTTTGTCTGATTTAAATATAGTAGCTCTAGTCTCTTTTTTCTAACATTTGAATGGAATATGTTTTTGCACCCCTTCATTTCTAACATATATATATATATCCTATATATATCCTAAAACTAAAGTGAGTCTCTTGCAGGCAGCATATAGTTGGATCTTTATCCATTCAGCCAGTCTATATGATTTGATTGGATAACTTTATCCCTTTATATTTAAAGTAGTAACTGATTGATAAGGACTTATTATTGTCATTTTGTTAGCAGCTTTCTCTTTTATAGTTAATTTTTTCATTAATTATCTCTTTAATTCTGCCTTTGTGATTTTATGGTTTTCATAACTCTATGCTTGATTCCTTTCTCCTAATCTTGTATCAAGGACAGAATTATTTTGCAAGCAGCATAGTTCTTACATAAAGCATGTTAAAGCTTTAAGTTTATTTTTAAGCTGATAATGATTGTAAACAAAAACCCTTAAAGTCTTCATCCACATTTTAAGCTAATGATATCAAAATTTGTAACTTTTATACACTGTGTGTCCATTAAATTATAACTTTATTTTTAATACTTTTTGGTGTTATCCTTTCCTGTGTTTTCCTTTTTTGCAATATACTTGTGTACCTGTACTGTTACTTAATAATCAGAATGGGTTTAAAATATCACTACTGAGTGAATTAATTTTTTAAAAATTATTTCACTGAACTTATTTAGTTGTAGCATGTGAATATTACTGTTATCCTCCCTCCCATATTCTCATATGTGAAGTTCAAATGAAACTGTTCAGTAAAAAGAGCAGAAAACCAAGACTAGACCAGAGCCACAACAGGCCTTTATTGTAGGGACAATCTACAGAGCTGTCTCTGAACAA